GCAAATGTATGTATACATCTCTGCTATATATCGCATCTATGCATTTGATCAACCAGGCTATAGGATCTGAGCTGTGTCTCTGGGGCATGTAGTAGCCTGTGGTGGCTCGTTTCTGCTCACTCAGGGTTAAAATAGCATGCCCATCAGTACATATGCTTAAACACTCATCGCATTACATATACAAACATTCTGTACACCAAACTGTGTGGTTGTAGTTGTAGGTATTAATCAACCTGGTCTATCTAGCCCGACAAAAAGGCGCCGGGTGCTGCTTCTGGGGCAAACTGCGGCCTATGGTAGCAAGAGGCTGCTCACACTGCGTGACGATACCATACACACCCAACACACATTGTTTTAACTACTTCTGTCATTACAGATACTTTCATATCTATTATATACACCCGAACCAATGCCATTCACTCTGCAATCGTTTCAGCTACTTCTGTCATTACAGATACTTTCATATCTATTACATACACCCGAGCCAATGCCATTTACTCTGCACATCCCTTTGGGCCCGTCCAGCCTGACTATGAGACCCGGGTGGTACTTCTGGGGCATGTTGCAGCCTATGGCGGCAGGTGTCTGCTCAAACTGAGTGACGATACCACACACATTGTCCAACTAGAGCCTGATCCTGTCAGCGACGATGAAGGCCACGCTTTTGTAGATCATGACGGTATGGGCGTATATTTGTATATATTTTTGGATGTGTGTGTGTGTATGAAGGTATGTATGTATACATGTATGTATGTATGTATGTATGTATGTATGTATGTATGTATGTATATATGTATGTATGTATATATGTATGTATATACACATATATAAATATATGTATGTATCTATGTACGATTAAATATACACATCTATTTCCAAGTATGACCAATATGGATATATAGTATAAATGCATTCATATCAATACACATACGTAGACAATATGGTAGTGCTTGTGACTGGCCCCACGTCTCCAGTGCTGGGTACCAGACAGAGCACGATCTGTGTAGTGTTGCCTGAACTGATCCTCACGAATTGTTCACGTTTATGGGCGCACAGAACATACGCATTCAACTCTAAGTGTAAACGTTAAATACATGTACCATTGTATGCAGACAGTCCCGGGTGTAGCCAACTCTACGTATTTTACACATCTGCACAATGTTACATGCATAGCATATACCTATCTAATATATCTATACACATCTGAAGTTGGTACTGGGATGCCTGTGGCTGCCCCCAAGTCTCCAGTGCTGAATGCGAGGCAGTGCAAGATCCACGTGGTGACCCCTGAGTGGGTATGGGAATCTGTCAATGATCTGCAGTTACTTGATGAGGAGCGCTTCAATCCATCGCAGGTAAATTATGGGCGGCACTGTGTCAAGCTTGGAAGTATGCTTATTGACATATGTATATT